AAAGCATTTTACCCTAGAATTTATAATTTAAATTTTGAATTTTTTGTTATTTTATGTATTTTAATTTTTTATATGTGTGTGTGATTAATGATTATGTTAGCCAATTTTAAAAGTTTGATCCTATCCTTCTGTCGATAAATTAGTGTTATAAAATATGTTAGGGTAAATTACACCTACACCCCTAAAGTATGCTAAAATAACTTTGAGGTCTCTCTAGTATCGGTAATTACAATCACTCCCTGAAACATTGTTAGAAACCCTAACGGAATAATACATTGGATAAGTTATTTCGTTAGGGATCTAACGGACTATTAGTTTCAGGCAGTGTTGGAGACAAACATAGAGAACTAGAGTGTCACACGACTCTCCTAACATTTTTTAAATTCTTCTTATTTTATATAAAATTTATAATTTTATGTCTATGATAGCATTAACAGCCCCGCGGGGAAACAATATATAGTGCATATCGGTCCCCAGGACACGAAATCTTGGCTCCGGTAATTTCTTTAGGGGTGTGACTGTAATTACCAATACTACATGGACCTTCAAGTTATTTTAGCGTGCCGCAGGGGTGTAGGTGTAATTTACCCAATATGTTATTGCAATCATGTTTCTGTTACAAGTGAGCAAGCTAAATGATGCTGGACTGTATTAATTTATACTTACCCATGTGAGCTCAGCTGTTTGAAGAATTATAATAAAAATGGAATTTTGTGAACTATTCGTATATATATTTATATTAAAAAAAAAAATTCAGGATATTTGGACCCAATGACAACGAAGAACCACCGAATAAATTAAAGCAGGGGAAAAAAACCCATCATTGATTACACTTTGCTGCCATTGTTAACTCTTCAATAATAACATTATGCCAAACACATGGTATTTTCTATTCAATAAGTTGGCTCTTTCATTTGTATATTAATTACACTTCTTCTAGCATTCTTACATAGTTTTATTTTTTTACACCCAAAAAGAAAAGAAAAAATAAAAATGTCCTTCTTCGAACTCAACATGCTAACGAGATTAAGCTCGAACTTCGACGAAAAAGAATGGATCAACCACATTCGCAAAACGCTAGACGAAGAGCTCGAAGAAGAGACCGAAACCCCCGTCACAATCTTCGGGGTTCCGAAAGCTCTAATGGCGTACGATCCAAATTCCTACATCCCGCAACAAGTGGCCATCGGCCCGTACCACCATCTAAAGCCCGAAGTCTACGACATGGAGAGGTACAAAGTTGCGGCTGCGAAAAGGAACCAAAGAGATCTCCAAAAATCCAGGTTCCAAGATTTCATCGACCATCTCATGAAATTCGAGCTCCGAATTCGGGCCAGCTATCACAGGCCATTGGGCTTCGGTTGCGAGGCCCTGGCCTGGATGATGGCCGTCGACGTATCTTTCTTGTTCGAGTTTTTTCAGGTTTGTGGTGTTAAGGAGGGAGTTTACAATAAGGTGTTGACGAAAACGCCCTCGAGACTGGCGCGCCTGGTGGACCTGTCGGGGAACAAAACCGCCCATGGTGCTATTCTGCGGGATATTGTTATGATGGAGAATCAAATCCCGTTGTTCGTGATGAGGATGTTGTTGGAGTTTCAGTTTTCGTCTCTGGATTTAGCAGACGAGACCCTCCTCGCCATGTTGAACGGGGTCGGCAGAGAGTTGTCCCCATTCAAAATGGCGGGTGAGGGCCCGCAAAAAGTCGCAGTAAATGAGTATGCTCATTTACTGGACTTTATGTACCATTTCATTGTGCCCTTTAAAGAAAATTTGTCGTCCGAAATAATTGAAATCCACGGCGAAGAAGAAGAGGTAGAAGAAGACGAGAAGGGGGATACAATCAAAGGCGGTTCGTTTTCGAAGCCGAGTCACATGAGGCAACTTCTCAATGAGCTATGGAGGATTCTTTCGACCTTAAAACAAGGGCCGGTTCAATGGATCAAACGCATCATCTTCTCGAAACCTCTCAAATTCGTTGTGAAATTGCCATGGACAATTCTCACCAAAATCCCTATCATAAAGATGATGAAAGAGCCTATTGAGCACATGTTTGCGATTTTCAACAAGGACGACGATAAGAAAAACGAGGACAAACTTGAATCGAGCTTGACCAGCAGCATACTGCACAAACCCCCGTTGTTGGAGGAGATCACTATCCCATCGGTGACGCAACTATCCAAAGTCGGAGTCCAATTCTTGCCCACGAACGAAGGCATCGCAAGCATCAGCTTCGACGAGAAGACGCTTACTTTCTACTTCCCCGTCATCAAACTAGACGTGAACTCCGAGGTTGTCCTGAGGAACCTGGTCGCGTACGAGGCTTCCAGTGTGCGGGGCCCGTTGATACTGACGCGGTAACACGGAGCTAATGAACGGGATCATCGACACGGACCTGGACGCGAGATTTCTCTGCGAGAGAGGGATCATTGTGAACCACTTGAAGAGCGAAAAGGAGGTGGCGGATCTGTGGAACGGGATGAGCAAGTCGGTTAGATTGACGAAAGTGCCCTCGTTGGATAAGGTAATTAGGGATGTGAACAAGTATTACAACGGGAGGTGGAAGGTGAAGTTCGGGAAGTTCATGAAGGATTACGTGTTTGCTTCTTGGAGGATTCTAACGTTTCTTGCCGCGATTATGTTGTTGGCTCTCATGAGTTTGCAAGCGTTTTGCCAAGTTTATAGCTGTCGGAGAATTCTGGCGATCAAAGCTCTCGAACCCCAACAATGAAACGAGTATAAGCGATATATAAGTTGTATTCGTGTTACCATCTGGCTCCGACTGCTAGGCCACTCTTTGCGGGACATTTGATTTTTTATGTTTTTCCCCCTTTTTTTTTGTGTCCTGTTTTTTGGGTGTTCATGTGTGCTAGCTAGCCTTAATTTGTAATAAAGTTATGATTTTTGTGTGTTTGTATCCGATTTCAGTTATTTAAATAAGATCGATATGTCAAAATTTGTTGAAATATGTTTTCCCCCGTCTAGATCGAGATTTGTAGTGTTTTTGTGCGACTCTCTTGAATTTGAAAGAGCTATTTGTATCTTGGAATTATTGTCAAAACTCGTGACCATTCATACATCATATATTTGAAGGGAAAAAAAATATAATTATTAGCTTCATTAATTTTTATATCTCGAACGCAATGATTATATACAATCATACACATGTGTGTATATAGGGAGTTAAATACTATACCTGGTTATTTACACTTAGTGAATTTGAATCGTATATAACTAAGTGTAACATTTAATTTCAATGTGTATACACCAACATATAATTTCCTTTTGCAAGTAAGTAAGATATTTAGGAGTTTATCATAATTATTGCCACAAAACATTTTCACAAAGAAAAGGAGGATTTTTAATTGAGGGTCTTGAAATAGGTAAGAATATTTTAAAGACTCAATCGATTAATTCTGGTTTCCAAACCATGTAAGTAGCCATGGCTCGCCTAGGGGTGGAAATTGGATCCCAAATTTCGAATTCTATCGATCCCGATTGCATAATTTTCAATTTCGAAATAACATTTTTCATTTGAAATGATTTAAATTACAACCACCTCTTGAGGTATGGTCAAATTACGGAAAACCCTCTCATGTTTGGGTAATTACAACATTTTCTTACATGTGCACTCTTATGGTGTCGTATTCAACATAATCTTCTAGTTTCTGGCGAATGTTATCTAGTTTGTACTCATTTTGTGCAAAAATACAGTTTTGATGCACTACAATCTAATATTTACAAGCCAAAAATTACATCTTATGATCATCTTGCTTCAAAATGTGGAACTCGAATGAGGTAAAACGGGTACAAAATTGATAACATTACCATACAATCTAGAAAATTCCACTAAATTTGACATCGCAATGATGAACGTGTACGAAAATCCATAGTTGAGAGGTGGTTATAATTATTCAAATAAGATGGGTTTTTTCGTAATTTGTTCGTACATAAAAAGAGCGGGCGTCTAAAGAGGAAATATCTTATAGACATAAGATTCACATTTGGACCCAAAGACAACAATGGACCAACGCCATTAACAAAGAAAAGAGGCAAACACTATCATACTTTGACATCATTGTCAATCACTCAATAATAACATATGTCAATTATCAAAAAATAAAAATAAAAAAAATAATAACATATGTGAAACACATGTTTTTAATTACTAATTCAGATATTTTATTGTGTGAACAAGAATAACATTTCACACTTTACTTCCATATTATTTAAATCTCCCCAAAAAACCAGGAAACAATTACTTACACACTTTCATACACACACTAACACACACACACACAAAAAAAACATGTCCTTGTTCGAACAGAACATGAATGGATCAACCAGATCCGCAAAACCCTAGACGAAGAGCTCGAAGAAGAGGCCGAAACCCCCGTCACAATCTTCGGTGTTCCCAAAGCTCTAATGGCGACCGACCCTAATTCTTACATCCCACAGCAAGTCGCCGTCGGCCCCTACCACCACCTCCGCCCCGAAGTCTACGATATGGAGCGGTACAAAATCGCCGCCGCCAAAAGAAACCAACTCGATCTCCAGAAGGCCAAGTTCCAAGATTTCGTCGACCATCTTATGAAACTCGAGCTCAGAATCCGCGCCGCCTACCACCGGCCGTTGGCCTTCGGCGGCGAAGCTCTGGCTTGGATCATGGCCGTCGACGTGTCTTTCCTGTTCGAGTTCTTCCAGGTCTGCGGTGTCCGGCAAGGTGTTTGTGAAAATGTCTTAATGAAAACTCCGTCGCGGCTCGCCCATCTCACCGCCCTGTCGGCGAACAAAACCGCCCACAGCGCGATTCTCCGGGACGTAATCATGCTCGAGAATCAGATCCCGCTGTTCGTGCTGAGGGCGTTGCTGGAGATGCAGTACTCGTCTCTCGATTCGGCAGACGAAGCTCTGCTCGTCATACTGAATGGGCTCAGTATAGAGATGAGCCCGTTCAGACCGGCTGCGCGGGCCGCCGCCCCCGCCGCCGAGGGCAACGGGGGCGGCGGCCCACGGAAAGTTCCAGTCAAGGAGTATGCTCACTTACTGGACTTTCTGTACCATTTCATCGTGCCGTTTGAGGAAGATTCGTCGCCGTCTGAAGAAATAATCGAAATCGGCGATGGCGAAGAAGAAGATCGTGATCAAATCGATGATGTGGAGAAGAGTAATTCGTTTTCGAAGCCGAGCCATTTGAGACAACTTCTTGACGAGCTATGGCGGATTCTTTCGACCTTAGCGGATGGTCCCGTAAAATGGGTGAAGGGCGTCATCTTCTCGAAACCGCTCAAATTCGTTGTGAAATTGCCGTGGACAATCCTCACAAAAATCCCAATCATCAAGATGATGAAAGAGCCGATCGAACAGATGTTTGCCGTTTTCCACAAGGACGACGACGAAAACGGCAAGAAAAAAGACGACGAACGCGAATCGAGCTCCTCCAGCAACAGAACACTCCAGAAGCCACCGTTGCTGGAGGAGATCACGATCCCGTCCGTCACTCAACTATCCGGAGTCGGCGTCCAATTCCAACCGACCGACGAGGGCATCACGGGCATCAGCTTCGACGAGAAGACGCTAACTTTCTACTTCCCCGTCGTCGAACTAGACGTGAACTCCGAGGTTGTCCTGAGGAACCTAGTCGCGTACGAGGCTTGCAGTGCGCGGGGCCCGTTGATACTAACGCGGTACACGGAGCTAATGAACGGGATCATCGACACGGACGCGGACGCGAGGTTTCTGTGCGAGAAGGGGATCATAGTGAACCACTTGAAGAGCGAGAAGGAGGTGGCGGAGATGTGGAACGGGATGAGCAAGTCGGTGAAATTGACGAAAGTGCCCTCGTTGGATAAGGTGATTGGAGATGTGAACAAGTATTACAATGGGAGGTGGAAGGTTAAGTTTGGAAAGTTTATGAAAGATTATGTGTTTGGTTCTTGGAGAATACTAACTTTTCTTGCAGCGATTATGTTGTTGGCTCTCATGAGTTTGCAGGCGTTTTGTCAGGTTTATAGTTGTCGGAGAATTCTGCCGATCAAAGCTCTTGAGCCCCAACAATAATATATATATATATATATATATATATATATATATATATATATATATATATATATATATATATATATGTTATCTTTTCTCTGCGTGTGTGTTTTTCCCCTGTTTTTATTTTAGGATAAAATGCACTTCGCCCCTAGAAATTTTCAGTTTTCTCAGTCCCTAAAAAAAAAAAAAAAAAAAAACTCTCTCCTTTCAAAATTTTATTCTAATTGCACTTTGCCCTCAAATCACAATTTTCGTTTGAATTGCCATTTTAAGGGCATATGAGTCATTTCATTACTCCTGTCCAAATCCTAATATTCTTATCTTTTCTAATACACGAAAAATACAATCTATTTCACTAATTTCAGGGAAAAAGAAATAGGAATTTTTTTCTCTCAAAAGGAATTGTGCCTATTTTGGTCTCAAAATTGTTCTTGCAAGAGTCCGTCCCTGGAATGACGCTAATGCTCTTCAATTGAACGGATTCATTGCAATTCCGGTGAAAAATAAGCTGGAAATTGTAATTTGGGGCAAACTACAATAGGAACGAAATTTTGAGGGGAGAAATCTCTTTTTTGGATTTTTAGGGGGAAAGTGAAAAATTGATTTTTTTTAGGGGTGAAGTGCATTTTATCCTTTATTTGATAAGATATATGTCGATTTGTGGGCAATATTTTCTTATTTTGTTTTATGATTGAGGAAATGCGTAATTTATTAAATTAATTGGGGATGTAAATTTATATTCATATATCTCTCTTTATTGATGCCAGTATTTATATATTAAAATAGAATTCAACATTATGATGATATTGTCTATAGTCTATACTATATTAGATCATATTGTGTTGAGAGAAGAAAAAACCGGGCCCAAGTCAAACCGGGCCATACCTTTGGATTCAATGAGTTCTTATGGGCTGCTGCTATTTGTAATTTCCAATTGTGGCCTTTATTTTATTCCGAGCCTTATTTGCTTAAATTGAATTCACATTATGTTAAATTTTAAGGTTAATTCAGGATTACCTCTGAGATAAGGTCAAATTATTAAAATATCTCTCACGTTTGGGTAGTATAATTATCCATTAAACTGTGAATATTCTTACACGTCCATCCTTGTATGTTAAATTTAGTGGATTTTTTTAGGTTATGTTGAATGTTCTCCAGTCTGTACCATTTTTATCCCATTCGAGCTCCACATTTTTTTTGAAACAAAATGATCATAAAATGTGTCTCTTGACTTGTAAATATCCTATTGTGATGCATCAAAAACTGTATTTTTGCGATATTGAGTACAAACTAGAGAACATTGCACAGAATCTAGAAGATTCCGTTGAATTTGAATTACCCAAAAAAAAGAGGATTTTTATTAGACATTACCTCAGGAGTGACCGTATTTACCCAAAATTTAAAGCATCTAAGACAATGTTTGGTAACTTTTTAGGTATGCATTTTCATTTTATTTTGGCAAAAAATATTTTGCAATTTTTTTTTTCAGAAAAGAAAGTAATGTTTATTTTTACTTTGAAAATATAATAATTTTATTATCGCAGTCAAATCACGTCTAAAGTGTTGAATTTCTTTTTTATTTTTAAGAATAATTCGAAAAGCAATTTAAGTGGAGACATTTTCTCTTATACTCTAACGGGTCAAACTATATTTGAAAAAAATTAAGTTTCCGTAGTGTTTTGGAAATCCTTTTGAAAAGTTCAACAAATATAGTTTCATTTTAAGGAATAATTGGAAGAATATAAAAAACATTAGCAAACATTATTAGAAATTGAACATTATTTTGTCTATATGAATACTTCACCATTGCATTAATGACAATAACTCGAACAACTCAATAGTCAAAATTTGTTCAATTAGTAGCAACTTAACACATATTAACCCTTAAAAAGA